AAGTGTCTTGCCTAAGGACACAACCACAGTTTGGCAGTATACTGCTGCACCCTAACCTAACCCTAACCTAACCCTAACCTGTCCCCATAAATGTCCACATACGTTTTGTCTTCTACACTGGACCCTCCCCAGACATTGACCTCCCCTTCACCCCTGTCCCTCCCCCGTCTGCCTTTCTTACTCTGTCTCTCCCCCAGCCTCACCTTTTCTCTCCCTCACCCCTGTCTTCTGTCTCGCCTTCTCTCCCCCTCTCCCTGTCTCTCCCCTCTGCCTAAACCTTCTCTTCCCCTCTTCCTGTCTCTCCCCTCTGCCTAAACCTTCTCTCCCCCTCTCCCTGTCTCTCCCCTCTGCCTAAACCTTCTCTCCCCCTCTCCCTGTCTCTCCCCTCTGCCTAAACCTTCTCTCCCCCTCTCCCTGTCTCTCCCCTCTGCCTAAACCTTCTCTCCCCCTCTCCCTGTCTCTCCCCTCTGCCTAAACCTTCTCTCCCTCTCTCTCCCCTCTGCCTAAACCTTCTCTCCCCCTCTCCCTGTCTCTCCCCTCTGCCTAAACCTTCTCTCCCCTCTCCCTGTCTCTCCCCTCTGCCTAAACCTTCTCTCCCCCTCTCCCTGTCTCTCCCCTCTGCCTAAACCTTCTCTCCCCCTCTCCCTGTCTCTCCCCTCTGCCTAAACCTTCTCTCCCCCTCTCCCTGTCTCTCCCCTCTGCCTAAACCTTCTCTCCCCCTCTCCCTGTCTCTCCCCTCTGCCTAAACCTTCTCTCCCCCTCTCCCTGTCTCTCCCCTCTGCCTAAACCTTCTCTCCCCCTCTCCCTGTCTCTCCCCTCTGCCTAAACCTTCTCTCCCCCTCTCCCTGTCTCTCCCCTCTGCCTAAACCTTCTCTCCCCCTCTCCCTGTCTCTCCCCTCTGCCTAAACCTTCTCTCCCCCTCTCCCTGTCTCTCCCCTCTGCCTAAACCTTCTCTCCCCCTCTCCCTGTCTCTCCCCTCTGCCTAAACCTTCTCTCCCCTCTCTCTCCCCTCTGCCTAACCTTCTCTCCCCTCTCCCTGCCTAAACCTTCTCTCCCCCTCTCCCTGTCTCTCCCCTCTGCCTAAACCTTCTCTCCCCCTCTCCCTGTCTCTCCCCTCTGCCTAAACCTTCTCTCCCCCTCTCCCTGTCTCTCCCCTCTGCCTAAACCTTCTCTCCCCCTCTCCCTGTCTCTCCCCTCTGCCTAAACCTTCTCTCCCCTCTCCCTGTCTCTCCCCTCTGCCTAAACCTTCTCTCCCCCTCTCCCTGTCTCTCCCCTCTGCCTAAACCTTCTCTCCCCCTCTCCCTGTCTCTCCCCTCTGCCTAAACCTTCTCTCCCCCTCTCCCTGTCTCTCCCCTCTGCCTAAACCTTCTCTCCCCCTCTCCCTGTCTCTCCCCTCTGCCTAAACCTTCTCTCCCCCTCTCCCTGTCTCTCCCCTCTGCCTAAACCTTCTCTCCCCCTCTCCCTGTCTCTCCCCTCTGCCTAAACCTTCTCTCCCCCTCTCCCTGTCTCTCCCCTCTGCCTAAACCTTCTCTCCCCCTCTCCCTGTCTCTCCCCTCTGCCTAAACCTTCTCTCCCCCTCTCCCTGTCTCTCCCCTCTGCCTAAACCTTCTCTCCCCCTCTCCCTGTCTCTCCCCTCTGCCTAAACCTTCTCTCCCCCTCTCCCTGTCTCTCCCCTCTGCCTAAACCTTCTCTCCCCCTCTCCCTGTCTCTCCCCTCTGCCTAAACCTTCTCTCCCCCTCTCCCTGTCTCTCCCCTCTGCCTAAACCTTCTCTCCCCCTCTCCCTGTCTCTCCCCTCTGCCTAAACCTTCTCTCCCCCTCTCCCTGTCTCTCCCCTCTGCCTAAACCTTCTCTCCCCCTCTCCCTGTCTCTCCCCTCTGCCTAAACCTTCTCTCCCCCTCTCCCTGTCTCTCCCCTCTGCCTAAACCTTCTCTCCCCCTCTCCCTGTCTCTCCCCTCTGCCTAAACCTTCTCTCCCCCTCTCCCTGTCTCTCCCCTCTGCCTAAACCTTCTCTCCCCCTCTCCCTGTCTCTCCCCTCTGCCTAAACCTTCTCTCCCCCTCTCCCTGTCTCTCCCCTCTGCCTAAACCTTCTCTCCCCCTCTCCCTGTCTCTCCCCTCTGCCTAAACCTTCTCTCCCCCTCTCCCTGTCTCTCCCCTCTGCCTAAACCTTCTCTCCCCCTCTCCCTGTCTCTCCCCTCTGCCTAAACCTTCTCTCCCCCTCTCCCTGTCTCTCCCCTCTGCCTAAACCTTCTCTCCCCCTCTCCCTGTCTCTCCCCTCTGCCTAAACCTTCTCTCCCCCTCTCCCTGTCTCTCCCCTCTGCCTAAACCTTCTCTCCCCCTCTCCCTGTCTCTCCCCTCTGCCTAAACCTTCTCTCCCCCTCTCCCTGTCTCTCCCCTCTGCCTAAACCTTCTCTCCCCCTCTCCCTGTCTCTCCCCTCTGCCTAAACCTTCTCTCCCCCTCTCCCTGTCTCTCCCCTCTGCCTAAACCTTCTCTCCCCCTCTCCCTGTCTCTCCCCTCTGCCTAAACCTTCTCTCCCCCTCTCCCTGTCTCTCCCCTCTGCCTAAACCTTCTCTCCCCTCTCCCTGTCTCTCCCCTCTGCCTAAACCTTCTCTCCCCCTCTCCCTGTCTCTCCCCTCTGCCTAAACCTTCTCTCCCCCTCTCCCTGTCTCTCCCCTCTGCCTAAACCTTCTCTCCCCCTCTCCCTGTCTCTCCCTCTGCCTAAACCTTCTCTCCCCCTCTCCCTGTCTCTCCCCTCTGCCTAAACCTTCTCTCCCCCTCTCCCTGTCTCTCCCCTCTGCCTAAACCTTCTCTCCCCCTCTCCCTGTCTCTCCCCTCTGCCTAAACCTTCTCTCCCCCTCTCCCTGTCTCTCCCCTCTGCCTAAACCTTCTCTCCCCCTCTCCCTGTCTCTCCCCTCTGCCTAAACCTTCTCTCCCTCTCCCTGTCTCTCCCCTCTGCCTAAACCTTCTCTCCCCCTCTCCCTGTCTCTCCCCTCTGCCTAAACCTTCTCTCCCCCCTCTCCCTGTCTCTCCCCCTCTGCCTAAACCTTCTCTCCCCCTCTCCCTGTCTCTCCCCTCTGCCTAAACCTTCTCTCCCCCTCTCCCTGTCTCTCCCCTCTGCCTAAACCTTCTCTCCCCCTCTCCCTGTCTCTCCCCTCTGCCTAAACCTTCTCTCCCCCTCTCCCTGTCTCTCCCCTCTGCCTAAACCTTCTCTCCCCCTCTCCCTGTCTCTCCCCTCTGCCTAAACCTTCTCTCCCCCTCTCCCTGTCTCTCCCCTCTGCCTAAACCTTCTCTCCCCCTCTCCCTGTCTCTCCCCTCTGCCTAAACCTTCTCTCCCCCTCTCCCTGTCTCTCTCCCCTCTGCCTAAACCTTCTCTCCCCCTCTCCCTGTCTCTCCCCTCTGCCTAAACCTTCTCTCCCCCTCTCCCTGTCTCTCCCCTCTGCCTAAACCTTCTCTCCCCCTCTCCCTGTCTCTCCCCTCTCCCTCTCACCTTTGTCTTCCCCTCTCCCCGTCTCCCTCCCCTCTGTCCTAAACCGTCTCCCCCTCTCCCTGTCTCTCGCCCTCATGTTTCAACCCCCTCTCCCTGTCTCTCCCCTCTCTCCCCTGTCTCCCCCTCTCCCTGTCTCTCCCCCATCTCCCCTTCTCTCCCCCTCCTCCCCTGTCTCCCCCTCTGCCTCCCCTGTCACCCCCCTCTCCCTGTCTTCCTCCCCTCTCGTCTCCCCTGACTCTCCCCCTCTCCCTGTCTCCCCCCTCTCCCCTGTCTCCCCCCTCTCCCCTGTCTCCCCCCTCTCCCCTGTCACCACCCTCTC